TATCACATTTTAAGAAGAGCATGTAGCACTGGAATTTGATACAACATTGTAAAATGACTATAACTCAATAAAAAAATAGTTTAAAAAAAAAAAAGAAGAGCATGTAGGATAGAATATATGTCCATGACCATTTTTAGAAAATGCAATCTGCCACAATATGGAAAGCATGTAACCACACAGTGTTCACAAACATTAGCTATTATTAATCTTACTACGTAAATGCTTTCTTAAATAATGAATCAATGTTTCATCCTTTGACTAGCGCTTCATACTGCAGTTAAATAATTATTTACTGAATAATATTCATATACCTTCTTTATGCACTCATCTGTTTTTGGACATTTAGGCTTTTTCATATCCTAGCTATTGTGAATAATCCTGCAATGAACATGGGAGTACACATATCTCTTTGAGATACTGATTTTGTTTTCTTTGGATAGTTACCTAGAAGTGGGATTGCTGGATCATATGGTAATTCTACTTTTAATTTTTTGAAGACCCTCCATACTGTTTTCCTTAGTGGCTACACCAATTTACATTCCCACCAACAGTGTACAAGGGTTTCCCTTTCTCCATATTGTTGCCAACGCTTGTTATCTCTTATCTTTTTGATAAAAACCATCTTGACAGGTGTGAGGTGATATCTTATTGTGGTTTTGACTTATATTTATCTAATGACTAGTGAACATCATTTCAAGTACTTATTTGCCATTTGTACATCTTTGGAGAAATGTCTATGCAAGTCTTTTTCCCATTTTTAACTGAATTATTTGATTTTTTGCTATTAAGTTGTATGAGTTCCTTATATATATATATATGAGATCAATCCCTTAATGGATATATAATGTATAAATATTTCTCTCATTCTGTAGGTTGCCTTATCATTTTGTTGATTATTTTTTTTCTACTTTAATTAGCTGGCCTTCTACTATGAGAAAAAAATTTCTCCTTCCACGATATTTATTTGAATTAATGGGTTCTTATTTTTGTTAAATGAATTATAATGCAGTACTGACAGTTAATTCATTTTGGTCCTCAAATTGTCCCAGACTTGGCCTGTGGGTGCAGTTAAAGCTGGTTCCTAAGCCTTTTTGACCTGTCTCCTGTGTTAGTCTGTTCAGGCTGCCATAACAAAATACCACAGACTAGATGGCTTAAACAGCAGAAATTTACTTCTCACAGTTCTGGAGTCTGGGAGGTCTAAGACCAAGGTGCCAGCCAGTTTTGCTCCTGGTGAGAGCTTTTTTCTTAGCTTGCAGATGGCCACCTTCTCTCTGAATCCTCACGTAGTGGAGAGAGAGTTCTAATGTCTCTTCCTCTTTTTATAAGGTCACCATCCCTATTGGATGAAGGTGGCGTCCTCACGACCTCATTTCACCTTTATCAACTCCTCACTGGTCCTGTCTCCAAGTACAGTCATGCTGTTCACAGGTTAAGGCTTCTATATAGGATTTTTGAGGAGACACAAACATTCAGACCTTAACATCTTCTGTCTTTGGAGTACTTCCTTACTTTTTAATATAACAAGGTAGTCCAAACGTTCTTACATTCTTTGTCCCAGCCCTTCTTCTAAGCTCTGGTTCCTTTTAGTGAGGAATGGTGCTTGGAGATGAGTTCTGCAAGGAAGCATTCATGCAGGTCATCTAATGTTAGGCTATGCAGGCAGAAAATAGTTAAATAGTGAATCCGTGAAAGGGTTAGAAGAGCTTCCTTGAAACAGAAAGTGTAAAAGACAGTAGGGCACTTCTCGGCCCTTGTCTAAGATGTTCCCTACATGATATTATTTTTGCATCCAATCAGTCCAAAGCAGTAGTTTGAAAGCCATAGACCTAGGCTAAGTGGAAGTGAGGATCTGCTGAACACTAACTCAGGGAAGCAGAAAAAACTGAGAGATAGTAAGAGGTCAGGATGCCAGAAGAAGGTACAGCACTTGTGGGACACCAGCTTTTCAGAAAACTGGTCAAAACCAGCAGACAAAGGGCCTTGTTTCAAAATAGTGACTGTAATTTAACCAATCATAAAGCTCAGTTGATACTCCAAGGCTAATAATATGGTCTTAGAGACCATTTGTAATTTTTGACTTAAGCTCTATTTCAAAGGTCCAACTTCCCTATGCAGGATCAGATTTCCCTGCCTTGCACTGAACTCAGACAATCTTTGTCTATCCTAAATCTTTATATTACTTAGCCTTACTGATTATTTAGGATGAGAGATGTAGTAGGGAGGAAAGGAGCCCTGGCGCTGGTACTCACTAATTATACATCTTTTGATGACTAATTGGCTTACTGTGTAAACCTAAGTCCCTTGTCCTTTCTGGTCCTCAGTTTTCTTATGCACAGAATGAGAGGCTGAGGCTAAATTATCTCTAAATTCTTTTCTAGCTTTCAAGCTCCATGAAACCTTCCCTGCCTAAAAATCTTTAAAGTGTGTGAATTAAACTAGCAGATCAAGATAAATTACCAGAGTTGCTGGGTGCATTACAGAATTAAAGTCTTCAGAGCCCCAGCAAGCCTGCTTTTTGGAGCATG